CCCGCAAGGTCTCCGCCAGCGCTCCGCTCGGGAACCCTGACCTTTGGCGCAATCGGCGGGCAACATGGGGCCCCTACCGCGGACATTGGAGCTCTTCTACGACGTACTGTCCCCCTACTCATGGCTGGGGTTCGAGGTGACGTGGGGGTGCAGGTCGAGGAGGGTGGGGGCCGGCCGGGGTCAGCGATGTGTCGGGTTCAGACCCGATCTCGGTCCTGGGGAGCGGGCTGAAGGTCGCTGCGCCCCACGGTGATCTGGAAGCCTGCATGGGAGACATCCCCAAAGGCCAAGGAGAGTCCAGGAACCCGCAACTTCCTCCCAGTGCCAGGGTAGGGTTGGAGTAGGGCAGGATTCAGACACTGCACCCCCTCTGCTTTCCCTCTGCTTTTCTGTGAGTGACCTCTCAGTCGGCTGTGCATTCCTACCTGCTGATGCTTCACGTGACCACAGTCAGTGGTTTGCCCAAAGATCTTGAGTTCCAGCATCTCCAGGCTTAAGCTGTGAGCTACACACACACACACACACACACGGAGCCCTGGTGTCCCAGTGAGTTCCGAGTTCACGCACACACAAGGCGCCCAGGTGGCCCAGTGGGTTCCGAGTTGAGCTGCTAACTGTAAGAGTGAGCTGCTAACTTTCAGCCTGGGCGCGAAAGCTGAGGCTCTCTGCTCCGGTAAAGATTTACAGCCTCAGAAACCCTATACAGGGTCATTGAGTCGGAGCCTACTCCATGGCACACAACCATCACCGCCTTATTAGCGAGGGTCCTAGTATGGTGCTGTAGGATAAGCACTGGAGTGCTAACCTCAAGGTCCACAATTCAAACCCACCAGCCACTCCTTGAAAACCCTATACGTGTGACGGGTGATGGGACGGACGACTGCAAGGTACTTAAACAACAACATGATATTAGCAATTGAATACAACAGTGATTTATGACATTTTAGCAGAATGGATTATAAAAGTTTTAGGGGATGTGGTGTACTAGGATGTTTACACTATATAACATGTTTTCTACAAAAAATATTCCCTATGTCCTACAACAAACACTATTAGCCAGTTAACTGTTTCAACAGACAGTGTAAAATCTCCCACAACAAAGAAATATTTTTTGTTGTAAAGGACTCATATGCATACTTTTCTATTTTGATACTTGTTTTGTATAAATGTTATAATGAGCAAATGAAAAGATGTCCTTAGAGAAAATTTAATAATCATAAAACTACAACAAATTGCTATATTTTATTTTTAGACAGATCTTTCATCTCTAATATGTTATCATTAACATTTCTATTCTTGGCTCTTATAAATTCTTCAATGATTTCATCACAGTTAACTTACCAAAGAGTATCCATACTTCATAAGGATAATAAATCAAGTCTTTCTTGAATCATTACTAAGGGTTTTTGAGCCTCTCTGGGGATACAAACGAGTGTTCTGTTGTTCACTTTGTGATCATTAAAATTAGGAATATACATAAAGCAATTTCAACATTGGTAAGTACGCATTGGATTCTAACTTCTTTGATGGAATCATATATGCTTGCATGAGTAAAACTGGTCTTTCCTAAATCACTAAAATTAGTTCTCATGTGAGAATAAAATTGTTGCGCTTCTCTGTAAAGGCTTGTATTTAAGTCATCAGGATATTTAAGCCTGCACTCATTTCTCAGCTAGGAGTCCTGGTGTGGCACTGTGGGTTAATGTACTGGACTGCAAAGCCAGTTTGAACCGAAGGTCAGCAGTTCAAGCTCATCAGCCGCTCCTCCGAAACAGGGTCGCTATGGATCGGAACCACCTCAGTGGCACTTAACAATATTTCTCATATGCCTTCATGCGTTTTTTGTGGTTTTTTAAAGTTTTTATTGTGACTTATGTGATAGTTTATGGGAGAACATTAACTTTACAGTCATCCTATCTTGTTTCGTTTCATTGCAATGATTACCATCTCCTGCATGCATCATCAAACAACCAAAGGGTACACCCTGCAAGCCTGCCCCCAGTCATCAGCATACAGCCCCTCTCCCTCCCTGAGTCTAAAGTCCCCAGCCACTCCTCTCTCCGGGTCATCCTCTCTCACTCCATCTCTGACGTCACTGCTTCTCTGGATAGGGTCTCACACTTCACTTTTCTCCCTTGATGGTTCCAGGGACCTCCACTCCTGGATTGCAAAATAAACCACTCCCCTCCTTTTGTTAGAAGATGTCTACCTTTACCTTTACATCACTCCCAGTCAGTCCTGAACCACAAGGATTGCTATCCCAGTCTCCTTTCATCAGCATGCATTCTTTACCAGGTGTAGTCCATATTGCTTAAGAGCGATAATCTGAATGAACTTCATACGTTCTTGCTCTCTCCATACAAGATGTCAAAGATGACAAGTATGTGGCCAAGTGGCTTTAATCTCTGGTTCTCAGTGACACTTCCATTATGTCGATTGTTCTTAAATGCTTCTGTGCAAGTTGAACTGCTAGATAATCAGGATTTTTCAGCATTTGTTTTGTTGTGTCTTCAAACTTTTCTTCTTAGTTATACAGATATCCCGTTAATGAGTGGTAGATATCTATGCATGTCTTAAACTTACTTTTGAATCTTGGAGAACTAGACTCATCCAATGAAATTGCTGCATTCCTCCACATATGGTGGTGGTTATGTGCCATGGAGATGCAATCCATACCGAAGGCTGTGTTCTTTGATCTTCGTCAGTAAATGTTTCAAGTCCTCTTCACTTTCAGCAAGCAAGGTTGTATCATCGGCATATCGCAGGTTGTTAATCCTCCAATTCTGACACCACGTTTTTCTTCATAGAACCCAGCTTCTCGTATTGTTTGCTCAGCATACAGGTTGAATAAGTATGGTGAAAGAACACAACCTTGTCGCACACC